TGTGCTCCCTGCCCTGTGCTTCTCATCAGACCCCCCAGCCCGTGTGCTTTTCCACGCTCTCCTTTGAGGAGCACAGACCGAAAAATGAGGCAGTTCAGGCCTGGACTCCGGATCTGTCGCGTTAACGTGTGGGTTTGAAATTCATCCCTCCTCCCCACGATCGACAATCTTGTTGCTCTCGTCCGTATAAGGCCCACTCAAGGCACAAAAGCCAAGCGGTGCTATTTATATTCCTTCGTCCAGCCCTACCTACCCTACACACTGTACGGCTGAGGTTCGCGTTCTGTCCTGCTCTCGTAACCGCCTGGCCCTTCCCAGAGAAGCTCCACATCTTGCGAGGCTCTGGGCGGCCACCGGAGTCACCTGAAGAGCCGAGGAGCCCCAGGGCAGCCCCCGAGTCTGGCGGCGCGGGGAGCAGCCCGGCCGCACGCCTTTGACAGAGGCTGCTCTTTCCCACAAACAATGCCGCACATCGCGGGCCAGACCTCCCTCGCGCCCGGCGCCCACGTGAGCCTCAAAATAAAGGACTAGCGCATTTTAGAAATTCAGCATTCAATACGTGTGCTGCGTGCTGCAAACATTCGGATGTCTGGCTGTAAGAAAATCAGGCCTTTGACATTTGCAAAAATAAGTGTAATTGTTGAAAAATGCTTGGAGGAAAAATGCTGTGCTTACGTAAGCGCCGACACGTGCCGTTCTTCAGATGAATGTGGCACGCTGTCTGGTTTTAGAGCAGCAGCGTTTTGCATGGGACATCCATTATTTAGTCATGAACTGTAGTAACCAGCCCCAGATTCTTCTGTCCTACAACCAGGAGATTTGGGATGAAGTCACTTTAGTTTGTTTTTATTAGCAACCACTCTAACCAAATTTGTTGGTGTCCTAATTCCTCTGAAAGGCAGGAGCCCAGGACGGACGGCACAAAGGAAGCACTGAGGAGCTCTGTTCCCGGGGGCTGCTAATAAGTGCACGTACTCATCTGACATCAGGCTTTTTAGGAAGGCAAGTCCTGTTTACGGTAAGAGTACCCAGCTTCTGTGTACACGGCAGCTTGTCAGAAGTCTGTCACCTTTGCTTTTGCTAGGCTCGTTTTCAAAACAAAAAGATGTGGTAATTTGGAGGGGGGTTGTTTTTTTCAAATTTTATTCTCAAGAACGGATCTAATTCCCTAGTTAAGTCGGTATAAAAACTCTCACCCCAGTAGAAATCAGACCAGCTCCTGGCAACATCAGGTAAAAGTGTATTTGAGAGAGTGAGCAAGTGAGAAAGCGCGCGCCCGTATATACGTGACCACGAGTAACGGCCCCTAAACGTTCTGCTTAATGCCTTGCCCTCAGCCAGCCCCAGTGGAAGTGACTTTCAGTTCTGCACTGTCTCCCCCAAAGTTTCAAACTGAGCAGGCAGATGTGCTTTACGCTCATCTCGACGGGTCAAGCTTTCCCTGAATAAAACTTGATTTCCTCCTAATCCAACAGCTAGCAAAATGCCGTTCTCGCAGGTCGTCTGACCTCTTCTCCCAAGGTGCCAAAAGGTCTTATTTGCACTCCTGAAATAGTCCCTCCGTAACTGCTGGAGGCTCAGCGTTCAACGCTGAGAAAATAAGCAAACACCTATAACCGCTGAAGAGCTGATCCATTTTCACCTCCTTTTATTTTGTCATACCACGGAATCACGCCACATGAAATCCCCACAGAGCATGACTGCTGCTTTACTCAGCTATCTTGCTTGGAAACAGCCACCGCTGGTTGTATGTAATATTTTCTGTCTCTTAAGATGAGTTTACCTCTTGTTCTCCAAAAGGAAAGACTAATAAATCTTTGCATTTTTAGCCACAGCAACTGAAAATGCAATTGCACAGGAAAGTTAATCGCAGCTTTCCAAAGGCAGCTTTTTCTGAGTTAGAAAGTAGTAATAATGTTGATCACCATCACAGAATTACTTTCTCAAGAAAGTATCTATCATAAACCTGGATAGGTGGTGGGGCTTGGGAAGTGAAACACTGAATTAGAAAAGAGTTATTTTGTAATTTTTTTTTTAATGATAGACACAGTTAGGAAAACAGTGCATTTTCCTCATTTAAACTCCCAGGGTGGAGCCCATCATAAAGTTTTGGTTTTATAGACTCCTGATACATTTAAAAAAAATGCCATGATTATTAATACTGAAGCACAGAAGAATATTAGTAAACGGGTAATCCAGCGGGAATCAACAAGGCTTCTTGCAACAAATAGCATTGTTCAGTATCAGTAAAGCAGCTGAACACCATCCTCGATTTGATAAATGCCTTTACAACATACACACAAAAATATCACTTCTTTCTCTATAGAGTTTTATTCTTTAAATGCGTTAGCATTATCTGTTTTGCATAATGCCAGACAAAGTACCGCTCTTGTCATTGATGTGCCCAGAATTACTGGCTGTGATAAAATATTTGCACGAATAAATCGGGACACAAAATTGTAACCTGATGTTTTTGCAGATCTGCTGTGCGATTCCCACAGTCAGCCCGTGTTAGGGATTTCTGAAGAACGACACCTCCTTAATTACAGTAAGGCGCCAACTCTCAAAGTCCTGTCCCTCCCAGGAAAAAAGAAAGAATAAAACCCCCCAAAGCCAAAAGCAAAACTTTCGAGATCCCCCAAAATGTTTAACTTCTTCAGAATAAAAGGTCTCCACAAATAAGAGAGACCCCTGTATAGGACAGATTCTTTTTCCTCACACCAAGCCACACAATTCAGGTTTCTGTACCTTGAAAATGACATGATGACGTTTTTATGGAGTGCAAACTACAGAATAATGCAGCTATTAAGCAACCCTATTTTCTATACGAGAAATAATAATTAATGTAGCTCTGAGACAGGCTGTAGATTGATATAATTTAGAAACATTCTCTGTTGACCAAAAATCTATGTTTCCATCGCGTGCAGGAAGGAGTGGTTACACTATTGCAGAGGACTGCAAAAATATACCCCGTTCTTCCAGGGGTTCCCTCTGGTCCACATCTGGCAATCGAATTCTCCTCGTATGGGTCTGTCTCTGCCGCAGTAATGCAGCACAAGAGTACTATCGATAAAAGTATTTGTTACCCAGGCACATTAATATTATTATTGCCTATTTCTGTCTAGTATTCAAACATCAAAAGCCCATCATGGATTTTGTTTTTCAGTTTAAGCACCGAATTAAGAGCTAGTGAAGAGTTTCTCCTCCCAGAGAGACCTTCGCGTGCCGTAGCAGTGCCCGTCCCAAGGCTGCAGCTGGCCGCCCCACCTGCGGGCTCCCCAGACCCGGATCCTCGCCCTCCGCGGCAGGGTCTGCTCAGGCCTCCTGCAGAAGCGCGAGGGTTTCCGTGGGCGCAGAAGGCTCCATTTCACACGAAGCAAACCTGGAGAATTTCTCACTTGTGCTCTGTGGCCTCGCAGTCAAATCACACTAAATTCCATGCTGGGAAATTGCTCTGAATTACAAATAATTCTTTTTTTTTTCCTAATATCTTCATGATTCACAAAATCCCTGCCATGGTCCCTCGCCAACTGATTCACTCAGAGGCTGTTCTGTCCGCATTACATCAGCAAGAGTATTGCCCCCGATTTCCTTTAGAAGCAGGATTGCTTTTTCATACTCAAAGGGAAACTCTACTCAATATTCACAAGCGCCAGCAAACCAAAAGGAACAGCTCACCAAATGACAATCGGCCAATGCTTAGGGCGCTTCCGAAGGACCCAGAAGCTTGGCAACTTCCTACCTACTTCCATAACCCACCAGGAATGTTATGTTTAAACAATTCCCTTCACTCTTCTGATTTCGGAATGTTTGTTGCTCCTGCAGTACGTTTAGAGTTCTGTGTTATTTTCCCCCCAAAAGCCTGACACAAAGAGCTTGTAATAAATACATATATATAACCGGATAGGTTGCCCGTGTGATCTGAAGAGGCTCGAGTATTTCAGCCTTTCAGGCATGATAAAACTACAAATGCTTAAGCTCTGAATCAGAGCTATGCAGGCCCCCGTACTTGCTAGATTCCTGAGCCTATTATGATCAGCGCTCCCTTCAAACCCTGTAGTAAGAAGCATTTTCCCTTTTTTTCTGTTTTTTCTTCTCTCTGTTCCTGTGATCAGCACTAGATGCTTCTCTATTTGTCCCTGACGCTGTCTATTATTAACCCAGAGGCTTCTAACTGAATCATTAACTATTTCACTCACTTGTCTTCCGTGGCTCAATACAGGAGTTTGCTCTGATAAGGAAGACTAAATCCGGACAGGAAAACTGACCGAAACATATTCCTCTCTTTCTTCTTGTTTAATATCAAAGGAAAAATCCAACGCTTCGTGCAGGGGTGGAACATCAAGCAAACCAAAGCTCTTATTGAAACCAGACAACTAGAAGATTTAAGACTTGCAGGCTGCAGAAAAAAGAACGTGGAAATCTGTACAAGCACAAGGGCAGAGGCAGACCCGAGCACTAAGGAGCTCAAGGAGCTGTTCTGTAGTTTCTCTAATGTCTCTGTCTGTCCTAGTCAGTGAGATTAACCCCGGTGCTGGGGTTACTGACTCTTGTTGTTAGCAGATGCATGCCACAACTCTGAAATATCATCGCTCTCCACGTAGCAATACACATGTTGCCTCTCAGTAGAAAAGACGTTGGCAGACGGATTTACAATACCCCCTCCCAGAACCCAGTGCCTTCTTGTTCTTTTTTTAGCTAAGCAGTAAAATCAGATTATTTTGATACTTCTGGTCCATTGCAATGAACGGTTAGGGCCAGTCCCACTATCTTCATCGAAATTCCTGTTAAATGTAGCAATTCTATCAAACCCTGCCTTAGAATGCATAGACAACGTTCAGTCATGAATGAGAGAGCTACTTCGGACCCGCCTCAACTCGGACTGCCAGACAGTCGGGGAGGCTGGGAGAGCAATGGACCGACCATGCAGTGTGACAGAACCCTTCGCAAAGAAAACACCCGCTAACAGGACATAAAGAAGCTGTGAAATAACTCCTTACCTGGTAGATCATGACTTTGAAGTTTCTGCGTTTCAGGAGCTCCGCTTCGTTGGCCTCTAGCTTCTTGATCTGCCCAGCTTGCTTCTCCAGGTTCTGCCGAACGGTTTTCACGTTGACGCTCACCTTGCGCACTTTTTCCAGCATCTTGTTCACGGTGTTGCTGGTGGTGGTGTGCGCCTTTGTCAGCTTGGTTAATTCTCCCTGGATGCTGGTCACTGCGCTATCCATCTCTTGCTGTCTCTCCTCCAGCTGTGTTTGGGTCAGCTGGATCTGATCCACCGCTCCAATGATCTTGTCCAGAAGGGTCAGCACCATCACACCATTGATCTGGTCTGATTTGATGGGTTCTTCAGGCACTTGCTCCTCAGAGGCCTCAGAAGCAGTTGGTGGTTCGATAATTTGCAAAGTAGTATCCTCCATGATCGCTCAGGAGTGCTGGCTAGCAGAGCCCGGAGAAGCTGTCACTACAGGGAGAGAGAGGAGGGAAAACTAAACCCGAGCCTCAGCTAAACTCTGCGCTGGGAGACGCGCCAGAAATGGAGAGCACAGTGCGTGGATGTCTGTGCTGAAATTCAAATGGCACAGCTCTGCAGAGCCGTCCAGTGAAACTGCCCTGCAAAATTTTCCAGGCTTGCAGGTCATTGGCTGACTCCACCTCAGCTATATAAAAGGAGCCCGCTGCCAAATGCCTGATGACCCACCCTTTCTGAAATGATTAAAATAGTTGGAGGGGAGGCGATGGCTTTGCATGCAAACACAGGCACAGCTCAGCGAGGAATGCAAAGCTCTGAAACTGCAACCGCCTCTTCTTTACCATAAGTCTGAAGGCACTATAAGTCATGAGAGGAAAAAACAAAAACCTGGACTAAACGGCTCGGGAAGCAAGCCCATCTGGGCACAGCTGTATACATTAAAGGGAAGCTGGCTTATACAACTGCACACGTTAAAGTTCAGCTGGAGAATTCAGATCTTTTGCCAATAGTTAGCTTTTTTCCAGGACTATGAGAGCCTGATTTTCAATACTTTAACGAAAGGCTACAATTTGGATTGAGTAGTTAGGGCACATAACTTCTGGATCATAAAAATGCACACTCCCATGTGTGTGAAGGTACACGACAGGCATACACGTGACCGATACAGCGTGCACCACGTCTCTGCGCAGGTTTAATGCAGAAAGAAGTATAACTCCCTCCCGAAGTGAAGCGGCTGGCCACTCCCACCTGCAAGCAGCTATCTCAGCGCTGCGATCCTCTCTCCATCGACAAATCGAGTCACTAGACTTTCAAATGCGGGACATGCTTCAGCACATGCCATGCAAAAACGTACTTGTAAGCAATGCCCAAGGACATTGTGCTACATAAGGCTTTATTGGTAAAAAACACACTGATTGTTTCAGAACTTAATAGAGTACATACTGCTTTGGAAAACATGGGGGAGAAATAATCCGTATTTTGCTAACTTTTAACCTCAGTATTGACACAAAGCAATTCATAGTCTTATATAGTGTTGGCAGAAGTTTCTGCCTCGTGGAGCCATCATCAGCTTGCTGCCTTAGAAGACACTCGGGAGCTGGTACCAAGGACTGCCTACGACAACCCAGCAGGACCAAGCGCGGGAATGGGAAGAAGGAAAATTCAGATCTTGACAGTGACCCTGGGTGAGACCCTCTTCACATCGCTGGCGTTGGCTCAGCCAAAGGAAATCAAGCTCCCACAGACAGAACTGCTGTGAAGCCTCCGCTGCCTTGGGCAGCAGAAAGCCCCCCCAGGCTCAGCCGAAGGGCTGCGGGCAGACTGGGAAGGCTGCAGTTTCCCTCTTGTCCTGTAGCCTTGAGAACAAGCAGTTCATACCCAGCACATCCTGCCTCCCGCCAGGGTCAAGCCCACCCTTGCAATTTGCCACAGGCTGGCAAGTAAAATGATTGCTCTACGAGACTCGGTTTCTCCAGGCTCACAGCCCACCTCCAGACAGCGCTGGAAGAAATGCTGAATTCTGAGCACACAAGCTGGGAAACCCACAACGCACGAACAGAGGTACAGGAACATTGTTTAATGATGAATGCTCACGACAGTCAGCACTTTCCGTGCCCCTCTGTTCTCCACCATGTGACAGCTCGCTTTTTACTGCCGTTGTACCCTTGCTGCACCATTGATCTAGATTTGGTTTCACTGTGCATCAGTAAATTGTGCTGTGAGGCTTCCACAATAGGTATTATGTCATGTATTAAAAATAGGTTGCTTTTCTATACCCTGTTTTTTCCTGGAGGGCCCTTTTTCCTGAGGATTTATTTCCAGTGTTTGCTGCTGATGAGTCAGTTCCATGAAAAAAATCCTCACTGCAGCCAGATAGCGTCGAGGCTCCGCAGCTGTTTCGCACTGGGGATATCTGCTTTAGAGTGGATTTCCACAGATATCTGCTGCGAAGTTTCATGTACAGGACAGGATGCAAGCAGACCAGTCCTCTCTTTCCAGGTCTGCCATGTATTCCGTGTGTGACTTCAACACAATCTCTGGGCTTCGTTTCCCCATTTGGGAATAATTAAAAAAAAATCAGACCGAGTAGGTCAATCTAGATAGAATCAGATAAAACAAGAGAACAGGAATTTATATTTGTTCTTGATACTCAGCAGCAGCGATGAAGTGCCACGCTCAGCGCTTGCTGCGCGCGCAGCGATCACACCCCAGGCTAAAGTGCGATGAGTAATTTTCTATGTTAGGACTAACTTCATTTCAGCCATTTTCTGCCTTGGAAACATACCCGGAAAAGCCAATAGGTGGCAAACTGCAGCCTTCCCTTCGGAGCCTCCACGCTGACCTGAGCGCACAGGACACTGAAATCCATCTCAGTCGCTTCTAGCGCGAACAATTTCTTGCTGCTCTCATTGCACAGTAGATGTAGTTTGATCTTTGGCTCTTCCACGCTTGCACTATGCCTTAGATATTACTGATCATTCCAATATCCCAGAGATTTTATAGCACCACTACTGAATTCTTTACATGGACATGGAACAGACAGCCCGAACAAAAACTAGGATATTTCAGCGTCAAAGAAAAACTCTGTCAGATGTATGCAGGACAACAAAGGAATACAATGTGCGGCATCTGCTTCCACAGCAGTGCGTGGAAGTTCCTGTGACTAAAGGAAACCGCTCAGCTCACTAACCTCTTAAATAGCAAGAAAGAACATTATCCTCTGTTTTCCAAAGACCTGGGGATAAGTACAGGGAAATGTGCAGTACGTGGGCAACTTTCTGTACTGTGAGATGCATCCCACAGAAGAGGAGAATTCAGCTTTATAGGCCACTGCCAGCACAATGCATTTCACAGGCACCAAACTCATTTCATCACAAATTAAGATACATGTTATTTCACCTTCCAACTCGATCACTTTTTCATAATCAATTTGAGAGATGTCGAATATCGGAATAAAAGCAAAATCTGAGAGTGTTAGCAGCCCTGCCACCGCCATTTCCACCACGCGGCACTGCTAGCCTCGCTAACACAGCCTGAGTCTGCCGGCACAGGGTGTCGCTCCCCATGACAGCAGCCCACCACGCTGACCTACAATGTCGTTATTTCCTTACGTATCTGTGGGTGGGCTTTAGTCTCGTAGGAGCTTTTAGGAGCAGTGCTTGGGATTTGTTCTTCTGAGCCTGAGCAGCACCCACCCCCCCATCGCTGCCCCTCTCTCAGAGCACGACACATAAGCACCTGGTAAGAACCAGGATCCTGCGCTCCACAGGAGGCAAACGCCTGCCCAGATCCCGAAGGGGCATCGCACCTCCGCGTTGCTGCGCACCGTGAGGGGCTTTCGAAACAAAGACAACCGCGTGAAAAGGGATCTGGGGCTAAATCATATTTTTGCTATTGCAAAAGCTCCTCTTTTAATCATACCAGGACCAAGCATTTACTCAAACACATGGTCAGTAGGTAGAAGTACCTGGAAGTTTAGCGTATTTTACTTTAAATATCTGCGATTTTTGGCTTCCTTCCCAATGAGCCACGTTTCCATTAACAGCCTAGGGCAGAAAACCCCCACTAGCCAGGGAGGTTCTTGCATTTAATGGGGTTTCTGTGTTATGAAGCGCTATACCCATGGGTGAGCCTTTGGGCTGCCGGCGGGAAGTGCCTCCGCTGACGTGTGCTTGTGCAACGCCTGGATTTAACTCCGAAAAGCCATTTTTTGCTCTTTCATTGCCCAGAGTTCTACTGACTTCAGCAAGGAAACCCTTATGTCGGGCCAGCTGGAGCGAGAAGGCAGCGAGGCTGAGGCGCGGGAGGCCGGAGCACCCGGCCGTGCCACGGCGCCGGGTGCAGGGCTGGGCCGA